TCCCGCCTTCCGTGGTGCGCCACGCCCAAGATGGCGTCTTCACGCCGCGTGGTCGATGGCGGCGCCATCGAAGACGACCCGGGCTCCTGCCGATCACCACCATCACCTTCCAACGCCGCCCTTGGCGTGACAAGGTCACACAACTCCGTGATGACGGTTTTTAGGGTCGCCAGTTGCTCCGCCATCCGGGTCCATCTTAAATCTTCGTCCTTCAACGCAGATGGGTCGGGCGCAGCGGCAACCTCCTCCACACCCGGGCCCTCACGGATCTCTCCCTCCGCCGAAGTGAAGCCGACCTCAGGAGGAAGATCGTCGTCGTCCGATGATGAAGCCGACGCCGGAGATGGGATATTCTTCTTCCTCAGTTGTTTCGCCATGCCGTTTCACTTCTGACTCCAGTGTAATAAAAGGACTCGAACACTTCTTTCTGTCTTCGTGTCTTTATTCAGGTTCACGTCTTTACCCACACGGCACTCTGTTATAACTCCTGTATTTGTAGCCCCCGGCTATTCACTGCTATTATAGCTTCCTCACCCCTCTGACTCTCTGCTTCATCTACTGTAACCTCCTCCCTGCAGACTTGCTGGTACCCCTATGTGCAGACCCTCTGGCTGTCACTGTATGCAGACCCGCTGCCCACTCTCTCTGTGCAGCCCCGCTGCTGACTGCAGCCTCCTCGCTGCTTCGGGTCGGTCACCGCTGGCCAACGGTGCCGATCCTCGCTCCCCCCGTGTTCGTGGCGATCTCGCCACACCCCGCTTCGCCCTTCGTGGCCTTCCTCTGTTCCTGGTTCCCCGTCACTCCCCTTGCTCTTCCGGTTCCCCTCCTTCTATACTCAACCCCTCTCCCCCCACGTGACCTAACTCCTCCCCCCCTGACGGCACCTCAGAAGGGCCGTTTACAACCGCATTACACTTGTATTTACCCAGACACCATTTACACTTCGGGCTGCCGCCACTGCTTGAACTATCGGCACGTGCTTCCATTTCCAACATTCCAGTGGAATCGTTATCGGTTCGTGACTAGCGATTATGACAATTGTTACCAGTTCACCGGTTATTGACATTTTTGTGAGGCCTTTATCCCGCAGTGGGCCCATCATGGCTATGATGAAGATGTGTGGATTCGGTGTTGTACATGTACAGCCCTTTTTTCAATCCACCGCTGAATGACGGACTCCCCACGGCATGCGAGCCGTGCATGTTATTTTTGTTTACCATTTTTCACCACACTGGGCAGTGCGTGCTGGTGAAAGAAATGGTAGCTAGCATACACGTGGCAGCATAGAATGACAGTGCAACAATGGATTTTGCTGCACTGACCTCGCTTCATCTTGCTTAAATTACAACATCTGACGAGACTGGGGCGCATTTTGAGTGATCGGAGTCGAGGTGTGGGTCGTCTCTGCACTGTTCGCAAAGGACCTCTTGATAGTTACGACGCGATAAGGTTTGCCAGTAATTGGGTTTATACGAGGTAAAGGTGCAGCCCTGCAATTTCATGCTCACACCACTACACTCGGTGACTAGCTCTGTAGAGTTACTCTGACATGTTGGAAGAGGTAGGAATTGTCGTCACTTGACCCCACGACACACGATCTGCCTGTGGCGCACCGATTTATATTGCTGGGTGCACAAGAGCCAAGAGGATTCTAATAAATCTGCCCATTGTCTCGAGTTCCGTGACAGGCGAACAAACCGGTGACCTCTGGAGTGTGTCATCATGATTAATTAGTAGGCAATGTTTTGTTTCATTCTCTTTAAAAAAATAAAGTATACGTCGCAGATGTCCTGACGGATTTAATTCTCCAAATGTCAGCGGTTAAGATGTCATCACAAACACTGAGAAATCTACAAGTGCCTCACCGATAATGATGATGTGTAATTTTGTGTTGCACACCCTGTTGTTAATAAACTGCTGAAGCCCACCCCCGAGGCTGTGAAGTGTGAAGGATGATTTGACCATACTTCACCGCACTGGTCACGGTTGGTTCGCGAAGGTGCATAGCCTTCTGATACCCAAAACGTCGTCCTAAAACACGTGTCTATACATAAGAGATGAGCAGTGCAATGCGTCCCCTTCATACAAGACCCAATACAAGCAAAGACTGGACCGGTGTCGACATTCAGAGTCTAATCAGGAGTCCGATGTTACAGGCAGGGGACCCCACTCTTTCATTCACGGGGTCCTTACTCGACGCAATATCATCTTATACACAACACAAAATAATCCTGAGCGTCTTCGTGGAAACTATGAGTGGCAACATAGATAAGCAAGCAGACGATATACACACCTCCTTGCTAAACAGCAGCACGGTTTCTGTTAATCCACAGTACCCGTCTCACCACGTCAATAACCAAACAACTTTGTACACAACACCACGGCATTGTTGTTGTTGGTGGTGTTCCATGCACGACCCAGCTCACGTAGCAGCAGCAGGATGGGCATAGGCCAGCTGGTTGCTGTATACAACACGAATCGCGTTGTTTGACCACAAAAGCCACGACGTGAGACCGACAGACCTGGCCTGCGGTGTTGTGGGGGGGGGGGGGCCTCTCAAGTAGCGACCCCCCCCAAGAAGTCCCCGTCGACTCGAGCGTGAAACGACGCCCCCGTGAGCCACCCGTCCCGTGCCAGTGGTCGGGTTTGTTCGTGTTAAGACGACGAGTTTTCAAGTTTAAAGAAGTGAAAGACTGACGTCTCCCCAGCCAGCCAGCCAGCCCCCCTTGCTTCAGTTCAAGTTCATTTATTAGGTGTAGCCCTGTGAGCCATTCGGCTCTTGAATCGGGTGCAACCGCAACAAACAAAAAACATGAACAAAAAACATCTTAAAGTGAATATGTGACTGAATGCAAACAGAAAATCCAAGAAAAGACAGCAAAATATTGCAGAAAAAACACCGTACACCAACGCTGTGTGCAACAATTCCAGTGGGATGCAAGTCAAACAACAACCACAAGACAACTTAGATTAAGGCCATCAGTCTAACTCTGTACTACAACAAACAAACATGGCCAAACCAAAAAACTTTTCGAAAATCACCAAAATAAAGCCATGAAAGCAATGAAACAGTGGCCGTAGGAACTGTGACCGAATTTTCACAATAAACGACGTTTGAATAAGAACTCAGAGATTCCTTCTTTGACTATGTGGGGGGGGGGGGGGGCCTTCGGCCATGGGGGTTGAGGCTCCACGTGGGTGGACGTGGAGGGGAGAGGGCCCAGCAGCAGCTCCATCAGACACCACCACCACCACGACGACGAACATTCAATCGCTTCTGTGCCACAGAGTGACCACTCACGGCCCCCCTCCTCCTCCTCTATACAGCAGCAGCTCCATCAGACACCACCACCACCACGAACATTCAATCGCTTCTGTGCCACAGAGTTACCATCACGCCCCCCCCCCCCTCCTCCTCTATACAGCAGCAGCTCCATCAGACACCACCACCACCACGAACATTCAATCGCTTCTGTGCCACAGAGTTACCACTCACGGCCCCCCCCCCCCTCCTCCTCTATACAGCAGCAGCTCCATCAGACACCACCACCACGAACATTCAATCGCTTCTGTGCCACAGAGTGACCACTCACGGCCCCCCCCCCCTCCTCCTCCTCCTCTATACAGCAGCAGCTCCATCAGACACCACCACCACCACGAACATTCAATCGCTTCTGTGCCACAGAGTTACCACTCACGCCCCCCCCCCTCCTCCTCTATACAGCAGCAGCTCCATCAGACACCCCCACCACCACGAACATTCAATCGCTTCTGTGCCACAGAGTTACCACTCACGCCCCCCTCCTCCTCCTCTATACAGCAGCAGCTCCATCAGACACCACCACCACCACGAACATTCAATCGCTTCTGTGCCACAGAGTTACCACTCACGCCCCCCCCCTCCTCCTCTATACAGCAGCAGCTCCATCAGACACCACCACCACCACGAACATTCAATCGCTTCTGTGCCACAGAGTTACCACTCACGCCCCCCCCCCCCGTCGACGAAGACGAAGATGGTCGTCGTCGTCACAATCGATGTTGTTATCAATGGCGTTGCTGGCACACTTGTTGCAACAAAACCTAATTACTGAATACAATTTACGGGATAAATCACAATCATCGCTTCCATCGTCATGAACCTCGTCATGTTGCTGACAGAGTAAACCCCCCACACACACACCTCGCGTTGTTAGATAACGCGGCATCACCATTACGTAAGGGGACCACGACGAGACGAGGATGAGGAATGAAACTGGAGAAGACGATGCCGCCTGTTGCTGGTGCCAGAACCACCGTCTCGCAAAGTTACCTGCGGCGGCATCGTCCGACTAACAACCACAGACACACACAACACACACAGACACACAACACACACACACAACACACACACAGACACACACAGACACACAACACACACACAACACACACACAAACACACAACACGCACACACACACGCCACACAACACGGACACACACAACACAACACACAACACGCCACACAACACGGACACACGACACACAACACAGACACACGCCACACAACACACAACACACACACAGACACACAACACGACACACAACACGCACACACAGACACACGCCACACAACACGGACACACACAACACAACACACAACACGCCACACAACACGGACACGCAACACACAACACGCACACACAACACGGACACACAGACACACGGACACACAACACAGCCACACAACACGGACACACAACACAGCCACACGCCACACAACACGGACACACACAACACGCACACACAACACAGACACACACACACAACACAGAGAGCCCAGGCCACTTGTTGCACTCACACCGCGCGTTGACTTCCTTCTCACGGCTTGTGGACGAAGGCTTGGCCACAACTCACCTCTCTCTCTCTTGTCCGTGTCGTGTCGGGCAACAACAACAGCAGCAGCAGTCGCAGGCAACAACAACAGCAGCAGTAGCAGCAGCAGTATCAGCAGCAGTCGCAGCAGCAGCAACGCGATCGCCTCGTGTGGTTTGCCAATGCCTCCTCGTAACCCCGACGGTGAGAGCCCCCCAGCCCCGCCCCCCGCACCCCTCGCCCCGCCCCCCGCACCCCTCGCCCCGCCCCCCGCACCCCTCGCCCCGCCCCCCCGCACGCGGCTAGAGGGGGCGGGGCGGGGGCAGCCCGAGCGGCGGTGACGTCACTGAAGCCGCCTCCACCGCCCATGTTGGGTCAGGGCAAGACGGGAGGGTGAATGGAGAGAAGAGAGGGTGAATGAGAATTATTTTATTATGTTTTATTTTTATTATTTTATTATTTCCATTGTACGTGACTTTACCGAAAGAACCAAGAAGATGAATCCCTGCAGTCACGCAAGCTTTAAATCGAAAAGGTGAATGGAGAGTTTTACCCCATTGGAACCTCATTTGCCAGTAACAAAATATGATAATTGTTTTTTTACCCTTTTATCTGGCGTCATCTGGTCCAACACCATGTGAGACTAGGCTCTAAAGAAAGCTGTCTCGGGTGTGGACCAATCAATTTCAAGGACAGTGCATACATTATCAGAGTTGTGTTTTTTTTGCATTCCGACTGCAGGTATTGTGGTCAATGCAAACATGACTCCTTGTAAAAAAAGGTGTTGGAGAGTTTTAGTTTCAGTTTCTCAGTTTTTCAGTTTCGTTTATTTGGTAGAGGCATGTGAGCTATTCGGCTCTTAAATCGGGTGCAACCGCAACAAACAAAAAAAGCATGAACAAGAAACCATCTTAAAGTGACTATGTGACTATGTGCAAACAGAAAATCCAAGAAAAGACAGCAAAATATTGCAGAAAAAGCACCGTACACCAACGCTGTGTGCAAAAATCCCAGTGGGGTGCAAGTCAAACAACAACCACAAGACAACTTAGATTGGAGTGGAAGTTGTTGTTGATTCCAACGTTGTTGCCGTCGTGATGGGGGATGGTGGGAGACGCCCTGACTATGTTTAATGTACCACGTTTTTCGTGGTACATTAAACGCAGTTCGTGCCGAAAATGTCACAAGGTCAATTCGGCCGATGTGTAACATCCTCCTTGAGTCGTGCGATTGTGGCCATGCCAACCCAAAATTGTGGACAATGTCGTGGACCTATAGACACATAGAGACTCTGAGAGATAAGATAACGAAAAGCCACATAAGTGCGACTGTAACCCATAGAAACACATACATTAATTAAAGACAAGCCACAGGAGTGGGATGGTGGTCATGCCAACCAAAAGTATGGACCATATATTTCGATTTAAAGCTTTCGTGACTGCAGGGATTCATCTTCTTGGTTCTTTCGGTAAAGTCACGTAGAATGGAAATAATAAAATAACACAAATAAAACATAACAAAATCATTCTTATGACCTGCTCTCCACCTGAGGACGGCTGCTTGCGTTGTGGCCGAAACGTCGTGAGAATTATTTTATTATGTTTTATTTTTGTTATTTTATTATTTCCATTCTACGTGACTTTACCGAAAGAACCAAGAAGATATGGACCATATAGTCAACTCCTGTAGTCTGGGCCCCTTCAATGGAGGAAAACCAAAACTACACGAACTCTCCCCTGAAGCCCTCTCGTCGTGGCTCGCAGCAGAGCTCGACATTTGGCATTTAGCTCCTGAACACGTTCCTGCCAAACACAAATAGATTCACCATAATTGGTTTTCAATTGCCACTTTGCTAAATATATTATAACAACATTTTAAATGACGGGGCGTGAAAAATAATCTATGACGCATTCACGAAAAAAATGGTGCACTTTTTGGTAATTTCGCGTTAATAAAGTAAGTTTATTACATCCGCAGGAAGGGTAGAAATGGCAGTCAGGGGGAGGCCTTTGTCCAGCAGTGGATTGACCATAGCTGATGATGATGATGCTTTAATCGTTATCATGAAACTAAGATAAAAAGCTGACGTCTGCTTTACTCAAAGGAGTGTTGTATAGCAACGCTCATCGCTCTTGGCAGCCCCTGGTCAGTGCTGGAAATTCCACATTCAATTCGTCGAGTGGTCATTTCAATTTTTGAAGTACAGTACTATTTTAAATTATGCACACCCAGAAGGATTTCCGTGTTGCTGACAAGATATGTAAAAATGCTTAATTTTTTTCATATGGAGCAACAGATATATGAAGATGCCTGTTTATTTTCTATGTTAAAAAGGTGGCCAACTTGGTATGGGTCTCCTAATACCTTCTTGCAGGAGCTTACCGAATGCTTCGTGATTAAACAATTATTTGGGGATACTGTGTTTGGCAGTGGTGCACAAGCCAAAATATATATTTTAAAAAAATCCGTAAACATTCGTAGACGACGTTTCAGGCAATAGTCCTCAATTATTCATAGCTCGTGTGTTAACGCAGTGCCATTGACGAATGTGCCGACTTTTCTACTAAATTATATGTTGATACGGTTATAATTCAACCCAGTGTCAATCCAACTGCTTGATGAAGGCCATCCAAGCCATGCATGTCTGTCGTGGTGCTTGTATTTTCTCAATACACACAAGTGGTTAAGAGCGGTGCCCTTTCATAAACAAATCATTTGATGCTCCTGCGTTGGCAATGATGCCCAAGCACAATTAACAACAACTTCAACAACACTGCCTTAACGATGAAAAAAATTAGTCTTTACCGTTTCTGGCAATAATACTGGTGTTAAGCAGAGGTGGGACAAAGTCATTGTTATGCAAGTCCAAGTCGAGTTGCAAGTCTTTGTACATTTTGCCGAGTCGAGTCTGAAGTCATCAAATTCATGACTCGAGTCTGACTCGAGTCCAAGTCACATGACTCGAGTCCACACCTCAGAGGTGGGACAAAGTCATTGTTATGCAAGTCCAAGTCGAGTTGCAAGTCTTTGTACATTTTGCCGAGTCGAGTCTGAAGTCATCAAATTCATGACTCGAGTCTGACTCGAGTCCAAGTCACATGACTCGAGTCTGACTCGAGTCCAAGTCACATGACTCGAGTCCACACCTCTGGTGTTAAGATGTTCAAACACCAAAAAGACACCTATTGCAAGGCATTACGTCCACGTAAACCACACGTGCTTTGTGGAAAAACATGCAAACAATTATTCTCCAATAATATCTGCATTAAACTTGATTTGGAGCTTCCGTGACTGCAGGAATTACTCTTTGGTTCTTTCGGTAAAGTCACTTAAAAAATAATTTTAAACATTTTCTACATGACTTTACCGAAAGAACCCGAGTAATATCTGCATTGTCTTTAAGTAAAGCCCATTCTTTTATTCATAATTTTGATACTGGCAAAAAGGTCCCATCGGCAACACTGCCTTAAAATATATAATAGGCGACGTGTCGGGCAATGGTTCTTCTTCGCTCACACACACACATCCAGTATAATGTTTTCATGCGAAAAGTCGGTGTTGTTGACGAATGGGGCTTTTGCGTTGGCACGGTAGGGGGCATAGGTGGTGCATCTGCCAGTCACCTCCATCAACACAAGGCACCTGGGCATGGCCCGTGACCTTCCTGCCAGCTGCGAGCCTTCTCGACACTTGACGTGCAGCCTCGAAGTGCACGTGGCCTGGCACACAAGCAGCGTTGGTGATGTCACCGCCACTTAGTGGCGAGTGGCAGCTGCTGTTGTTGCTGCTGTTGTTATTGCTGCTGCTACGGGGAGCGTCAGTGTCGCAGTTCGCGCTATGCTGCTGCGCTACGAACCCGGCCACCCGAGTTCGATTCCCGCTCACGGCCAGAAACCACCGGTGACCATTATCTGAACCGGTCCTGGGCCTCCCCGAGATCGACTCAGCCTCAAATGAGCACCCAGTGCGGTGTGTAACACATAAACACTAGGGTAAGACAAAGGCGGCCGGGCGTGGTGTTGCCCCCCCCTCCCCCACCTTGTGTGCCACAGTGCCGGCCTTCAGAGGTGATCGCTACTCTCTGACAGCACTTGCCCCCCCCCCAACACTCTGTTTACGGCTTCATGTTGTTGTTGCTGCTGCTGCTGCCTCGCCGACCACCAACCCCTGAGCAAGGTGGCCGCAGGTGACGTAGGCGCCGCGGCGCGTGGGGTGGAGGGGGCCAATCGCGGCGCTCTCGCTAGCGTGACGTCACCGATCATACGAGCACGCGCCGCGGGTTAACAGGGGGGAGGGGCCGCGCAGGGGTTAATGAGGGGCGGGGCTTGGTGGCGAGGGCGGGGCTTGGTGGTGGTGGTGGTTGGAGGCGTGGCTTGACGGTGGGGGCCGGGGGCTTGGTGGGGAGGGGCCGGGGGGATGGTGGGGAGGGGCTGGGGGGCAAGGGCTTGGTGGTGGTGGTTGGAGGCGTGGCTTGACGGTGGTGGCCGGGGGCTTGGTGGGGAGGGGCCGGGGGGATGGTGGGGAAGAACAGAAGGCTTGGTGGGGAGGAGACAGGGAGGGGGGCAGGGAGGGGCCGGGGGGGGGTGCCGGGGGGGCCGGGGGGTGTAGTGGGGAGGGGTCGGGGGGTGGGGAGAGGTCGGGGGAGGGGTCGGGGGGTGGGGAGGGGTCGGGGGGTGGGGAGGGAGGGAGGGGCCGGGGAGGGAGGAGCCGGGGGGGTGCCGGGGGGGCCGGGGGGGTGTAGTGGGGAGGGGTCGGGGGGTGGGGAGGGAGGGTCCGGAGGGGTGTGGTGGGGAGGGGCAGGGGGGAGGGGAGGGGCCGGGGGGGAGGGACAGGGGGGAGTTGTTATGAATTGCAGTGCAGCAAGTAGGAGTTGGTGTGCCTGGGAAGTAAATGTTGAGGGATGTGGGAAAAACTTGCCCCCAAAGAGGGACAGACAGAACGAGACGCTTTCACGAGGGTAGAGACGTGAGACAGACGTAAAGCGATAGACACAGAGACACGCAGAGACACAGAAATGTGGCCTCTGAGACAGATTAGACGAAAAGATACGGAGAGACAAAAAGACAACGAGAATGACAGCACCGAAGTACATAAACACACAGATTGGACAACAGCGAGACGGAGAGGGTCACGAGAGAGAGAGAGAGACAGTGACTCCGAGAAACACAACATGAGACACAAAGACAGACAGACACGGAAATACAAAGTCGGATTTCGTCTTCCCCCCAGCCATGGTACTTGATGCAAACCCCTAAGCAGACTGTTTCTGCCCATAAGTTGTTGAGTTTTGGCCCAACATTATGTAATTATCTAGATACGTACTCCATTTTTCACACAGGAAACAGGCCAAATCATGATGGAATGTGCCCAAACGTCTGCCAATCCAAGGCCCTCCTAGAAAGGTGGGCTGAGATTCCACGATACGTTTATGGGATAAACGTAAATATGATCTACTGGAACTTGACCGCCGCTTTGGGACCAGCTTGGTTTGTGGTCGTTGTATTCACGATAGGTCTGTGAACTTTACATTTTCTAACCTGCAAAAAGATAACCATGGTACAGTTACGTACGAATCTTGCTCCAGCCGATTGTCTTTAAAGTAAATACATTGTTTGGTGCTGATCCATTGGCGGTGCTGCACAAGCACAAGAAACAAAAAACATCAATGACACTGACCTTAAAAAAAATGTGCTATGAAGAATTGCCAGAGCACATACAACTTGTATGTGCTATGAAGAATGGGAATTGCTCGAAGCGTTTCCTATTATGTAACGTCGCTTTAAAGGTCACACAGTGTTATTGACGAATGTGTCGAGTTTTTTTATGTAAAGAATGATACTAAAGTAGAAACTATGTTTTTTGTATTTTCAGATTTAAATTAATGACATTTTAGATGTTGTCACTGTTTACGTACTGCATCTTATCATTTAAATAATTTAACTAATAGTAATTAAATACGTATTTTTACGTAAAATTCCATCAGCAAAACAATCATTTATATTTTGATATTTTAATCCTCTAATTGTATTGAAAGTGATATTACGTATCATCAAAATTACATCACGGGAAATGACTTTTTGGCAAGGAAAGGACTGAAGTGATGCCGTGGAAATTAAATCGTTTCCTGTGGAAGCACTTTGTCTGATCAATCATTACATCGGGGGTGACATGGCCAAGCAGTAACGCGATTGGCCGTTTGTTGCAAAGGTTCACGGCTCGATTTCAGCGGCCGCCCTGCTTATTACTGCGCTGTATTCTATTTACTAAGTAATTTTATTTTACCAGGTAAGGCCCACTGAGCGAGATAGCTATTTTTCAGAAGTGACCTGGCCACAAATGATAGCCCAATGAAGTGGCTTATCACGTGGACATTTATAGCGGCCAAATACTCTTGACATGCCCGGAGAAAAATCCACGCGACCATGGGGAGAGCATTCAATATTCACCAACACAATATGCGTGGTCTGCTTCAGTGGAAGTTATACATCCCGTGACATCATTCGCAAGAGTAGGCGCCTCCGACTGTCAAAACTTAGCAAGGCCTCCTGAATAAAATTCATTACAAAAGCACAATTATTTTGTTTAAAATAAAATAATCGGAAACAAATTTGTCCGTAATAAAAATACGAAAATCAGCTAGTTCTTGTGTGGTTTTGGGTTTAATATGTGTTTCGATGATAGCTCAATATATCTATTATGCTTTGCCAAGCAGTGGAATGTTAATGGATGAGAGAGAAAAAAGGGCTAAGTAATGGCGTCCCATTGATGTGAATGAATAGAGTGTAACTAATATTTTAAACAAATAAGTGCTTGCAATGTGTACAGGGCTACAATGTTGTTGCCATGGCGATTGCGTAAATTCTGAATTCATGATATAGGAAATGGCTGTGGCAAACACTTTCAGATTAGGCGGCCACACCCCGTACCTTATCTTGCTCCGTAACTTTTCCGTGAATGATAATTTCGTACCTACACCTTGCCTGTGAATGTTACAAATTTACTGGAATAAACTCATAGCCCTAGCTACGAGCACACTAGCCTTCGTCATCTTTATGTCGTTTGTTAGTTGTGCAATATTGCTTAAGGACAGTCTCTGTATTAGTTGTCTGCAATATTGATGTTTTTGTGTTGCTGCTGTGCTCACGCACCACGGATCTGCATTGTAAAATAGCCGGTAAACTGCCGAAACGGAACCATCCGTGTTACAAATAAAACAAACTCAAACTCTTTCAACTATAATAATTGTTTTTTTACCCTTCTATCTGGCAACAAAACTGACACCTTTTTACAAGGAGTCACGTTTGCATAGACCGCAATACCTGCAGTCATAATACAAACAAAAGACATAACTCTGATAATGTGCACTGTCCAATTATCATATTTTTACTGGCAAATGAGGTTCCCATAGTGTAGATTCTTTCAACAATACTTACTACGTGCTCCTATACTATACTGTAATTACATTTTACGGTATTATATAAGTCAAGTCACAATCACCCCCCAATCACCAACCCACATTGACCATCAAGTACTATACGGTAAACAAAAAAGCCATGCTATATTACTATAGTACTATAATGCATTCAACTTTTATTGACTGGGTGTTTAAGGTTAGCAATTTGTTATATTATCTGGCTGTATAGAAAATGAAAAAATACAATTACTTTACTATGTAAGTTAAAAATGTGTTTTCATATTTGTTGTATTTAGGGCCTCTTTACAACATATGCTACAGGCCCCGCACTAGCTCAATCCGGCACTTGCCACACCCAAACGTAGTAACACCTGCCTGGGGTATTGTGTTTTTTGAACTCTCCACTCATTCCCCTCTCCACAATTAATGGGGAGATTATAGAGGTGGGAGGACTTTATCTGTGCAGTATGTTCATGGCAGAGGTCTTAACTTTGAACCTTACCCCTGTATCAATAGTTACATTTTAATGTGCAATGTAATTGAGGCACTGTTGTATTCGTGTGGTCTGGGACTGTTGTTTTGTTGCCTTGCCCAAGCTTACATTTGGTGTTGCCAAATCGGCAGGAAGTTATATAGTTGTGCAATATGTACTTCTATACTTTTTATATTTATTTATAGGAACTATTTAGCTCTTTTTCGTCTTTTGTATTGTATTCATAGCACATTAGTCTTGGCTGCAACCACTCAAACCACTTCGGTATCAACCTCCCGCAATGTTCCAAACATGCCCACAAGAGCCACATTGACACATTTTGTGAGTATCTCAACACTACGCCCTTAGCCAGTGATGGGGCTGGTTCATGTAAGCATCCTTTGGCCTCATCCTCTGAAGGACCTGGTCCCTTCCAACTACCAAACAATTGACGAATGTGTTGAGTTTTGTACGAAACGACAAGGCCCCTGAGTCTGGGGATGAGTGTTTGTGTTAAGGGGGTGAAATCATCTTCTTCCTACACCGATATCGCAATGACTATCGACGATGAGAATGACGATGGTAGCCACTGCTGCTGTGTCTAATGGCAATAACGGTTGCTGTGGTGATGTTGCTACTGAGTTATCTCGCTAAACGATCTCGCAAAACGCACAAATAATAAACCTACACGGTGGCGGAAGCACCTAATCTCCGAGCGCACATTGCTCTTGTGTGGCCGAATTGGTCATAACAGGAGCGCATTTCAACGCAATCCCACCGCAGCTACGTTTTCCTCCCTATTTATAGACAGTGGAGTTCCGCACTCCATTCTCCACTCACTCCATCACCTCTTTGGTGGTCCACACTCCCCACGTCTCTTCCGTACTCCTCGTCATCGTCTCTCCAGGTCGCCGTGATGGAGGTCACTCCTCGTCTGCTCATTCTCTTCACCTGCCTGTTCGTCCTCCTGCTCGCCCCAGGTGAGTTATCAATGCAGGACTTTGTCGATCCGCTGCAGGATAACGGCCTCCCCGAGTCATTCGAGTCTTGGGGGTTTATTTGACCGTGCGTCATCGAGCTGGGTGATTGGTGAAGGTGGGGAGCGTAAACATTTGAGCAGAGTACGGTACAACAATAACATTTGTTGCACTGCCTTCTGAAGACAATGAAGCAACGTGGCAGCCTATAACACCTGCTATGCAACGTTAGGACATTTTTGGAGTACAGTAAGTGCAAGGCAAGTTCGTGGAAAAGTTTGTGGTGGTAGTGCAATGGATAGACTGGTTCCATACATTTCAATGTGGAATTTACAACACTTGCCCAATGCTCCTTTAAGTGTCCCCCAAGATCACTCGTGGTGTCACGCTGTAAAATAATGCGTTACCTCTTACGTAATAAGCTGATGGCGGGGCATGTTAATACCCTGTACAATATCTAGTACAGGATTGGGAGGAGCGGTGGTGTTCTGCTTCGCACACCGGTCTATGAACATCACACGCCGAGTTTTATTCCAGAACACGGCAAACATCAGGGGCGAGTAAAGTTGCCACCTTTTTCCACAGACCAAATCCAGCCACTTTTCCCAGTCAACTGAGCTCGATCCAACTTGTGCAGTTATATTGTGCAAAGGTTCAACACAATTCCACCATATTTCGGTAGAAATCAATTCCTGCAACTCGAAAACAGACGCCGCTTGCAAAACCTCGACAGCTAGAATTGCCTTGTGCCGAAATCTGTCCAAGTTAAATAAGGACAGGTGGCAACGTTCGTGGTGAGTGATATCTGAACTATTTGTGGTTGTCCTTCCCAAAACACTTCACCGACCGGCAATAACCAGCGCGGTGGAGTATGCTAAACCATCCGCCGCACGATGCACATAACGTAGGGAGACCTTCATCCACTAGTGACTTTATATTTGGCTGTAAAAATATATATACACATGTTGATGTTACTTCTGAAAAAAACGCGTATAGATGGGGGTCGAGAAATTAGGTACCACTTTGTGGAACTTTTACCAGTGGTCTCCACGATGAGAAACCAACCGCGACCCCGCCCGTGTGTGCAGTCCACGCACGTGCACAGCCCTCGTGTCAATCCACTGCTGGATGAGGAGAGCACGGCGTTGGGAGTACAAACGCACGGGGTGTCTTCACCAGAATGTTGTGAACTACAGCTCAACATTCCCACGTGACAATTAACTAAGTTTGTCCATGTCCTTAGTGACAACCACTCATCCTGAACTTTCCTTCTTCCACATCGCTCAACTCTGCATGGCCTCCTGCTTCCATCTGTGCAACATCTCTCGATATTTATCGAATTCCCCAGGAGACCTCCACTCAATGGGAGGTCGCTGCTTCTCCTGTGCTGGCCTTACTGTCTGCAACTATTGCCTCCTGGTCTTCTTTACTGCTCATTCTGTCTTTCTGTTCAAGCCCAGGCTGAAGACCTCCCCCTTGTTCTCTCTGTCTGACTGCCTCCTAACTCAATGTCTTAATTACCGTTCCTACTGCACAAGAACCTCTCATTTGTCTCGCGCCATTTACTATGTTTACATAACGAGGGTCACTCCACTGCCGTAACATGTCTTGAGATGTCGTTGCAAGTAGACGCTTTGTAAAATGGCATCGCTTCTGTCCTGTCTGTTCTCAGGCCATGCTTTGAAATGTCATGAGTGCAATGGCGTCGATCAATGCAATCATTCTAAACCAATGGAGTGTCCAGCTGACAACCACTGCATCACGGATTTCAACGGAACAAGTGAGTAGCGAGCCCGGGGTCTCTCTTCCTGGCTGACCTCCTCCTCATGGGCTGTCTGTATGTATGCGAGTGTGGGGAGTGATCGTTTAGCGGTCAGCTACACTACAAGTTGAATTCTGCTCATGGCCAACACCAATGATGATGATTTGAACTGGGCCTCCCGTAGGTCGACTCAGTCTCAAATGAGTATCTGGTGTGGTGTCTAAACATCGCCACTCGGGAGACAGAGGTGGCTGGGCGTTTGGGTGGCGACCCACCCCCTCATGTGCCGTTTTGGCCTTTGTAAGTGCTCACTTACAGCACTCGCGCCAAGAGTCTGTTAGGGCTATATGGGGGGTCTTTGACTTTGTTCCAGACCTGTAGATTCCCCAATAGACTCTACCTTTTGTATGGGATGTGTGTGGGGGGGGGGGTGCTATTAATATGATATTAATTAAGATTTTTGGCCACAGATTAAATCATCAATTGTTTTTGGGACAATATTTTTGTTATAATTTTGATTGTATTGTTTATCTTTTTGAATATCATGTCTCCTTTGTATTGTTTTGTTCACACCATCAGCATATAACCGTATCCATACTGTGTGGACCACGGGTCACTTGAACGGAATTTAAGAGTAGCTTTGTGACATCCGCTTCCATCAGCTGTTGTCTAGCACTGGCGATTGCACTGCTCTGCGAGAACAGTTCCACGTCAATCAATAGTATATTTGACATGATATCGAAAGCCAATTGCTATTAATTTAAGAGAAAATTACAAACACATCTGGCCTGTTGAACAAGTAGGCTTTTGCGACCAATATTATCCATAATAGAGTTTTTTTGGGTTAGATAGCGTAAATAGAAATGTGTCGTTAAACCCCTCTACCACCAAACACAATCAATTCGTAAGGTTTGTCACGTAAACAGAACATGCCAATTCGTTACTAGTACAGCACACCCGTGTGTTGGAAATTAAATCCACAACATTTACAATTTGAGTACGACGTTTCACCAGTAATTACAACTAGCATCATCAGGCGACAGCCAAAAAAGCTATGAGTTCTGAACTGAATTGCTCCTCATAATTCACGATGTTTCCCCTCGCTGCTCTGCAGGTGTAGCAATCTCCAAAGGCTGTGCAGCGTTGTGCCCCGAGGGATTATTCTGCTGCAGAAAAGAAGAATGCAACAAGCGCTCCATTTTGCTCGAGTGCTTCAATTGCACCGACCTCGCCTGTACAAACAGGACGACAAAATTGTGCAGCAAAGGTGGCCATTTTTGCTTTGCTAGCCAAGTCTACGAGGGTACGTTTTTGTTCCCTGTTTCAGTCCGTCTGTGTGCGTGTCAATGTTTGATAGGACCAGGGGCGGTTTCTTCATTAGGGCGATTGGGCGACGCACCACCAATGTCATTCAACCACAGAGTCACGCTAGCCGTCACTGTCAGCCTCTGGATATAGTCCAATCAGCGTCATGTCACGTTCTGTGGAGTACCGCCTCTTTTTGGGCGATTTCACTACGGCTGAGAATCGCCCCGAGTGGCCCCATAGACTTACATTGAAAGATGTTTTTTTTCGAACGGGGGCGCTCCACTGCATTCTCTATGGCTTCCGGGAGGGCATGCACTAACGTGCTTACGTCATCATACGTGCTTACGTCATCATACGTAAGCACGTTTCATCCAACAATATAATTTATCGCTACCTAGTGGAATCTTTAATAAAATAAACTTGAGTGGTTTGTTTTAAAAGTGAGTATATAAACAAACAAGATGTATTGTAAGAGTCACTTTATTTTTCATTAATATTAAAGAAGTGAAGTTGCCTTTACATGCTTAAGCTGTTAATTTATTCATTGCATGGGTGGGCCTTATCCTTATCAATCATCCAGACATTTGCCCCCCCTGAGAGATTTTGCAGGAGCCGCCACTGGATAGGACCTGTATGGAAGAATAGATAGGGTGTGTAAAAAAAGAGTATTTTTTACCCTTTCTGGCAATACAACAGGTGTTAAGATGTCCAAACACCAAATGGAAACCTCTTGCAAGGAATCAAGTCTGCATTAAGCACACGTATTTGGGGTGAACATGCAAACAAACATGCTCTGTTAGGGCCAGTGTTTGACTGAAAAGTTGTTCCACTCACTAAAATGCACCTCTTCTGTTCATTGCCTCATGTGGCTTTTTTTTACTGAATGTTCACGTTTGTCATGGACATTCACATAGCAGGTAATTGTCAATGTGACGAAGTACTGACACGGGTTTACCGCTTGCTCCCTTTAGATCACGTGTCCAGAGGCTGCAGGAAGGAATGCCCTGAAAGTGCCAATGTCACTTGCTGCCAGAAGGACCGCTGCAACATCGCACCTGGCAATAACACAAGTGGCAACGGCGCATCTGACAGCAAAGCGAGTGGCAACAGTCAACCTAGCAAGAGTCCAACTACCAACAAAGCAAGAGGCAACAGCCCGCCTGGCAACAAGTCAAGTGGCAAGAGCGCACCTGACAAAGGAGATGGCAACAGCGCGCCTGGCCTGTCGGCTTGCCTCCCGCAAGGCCTCGGGCTACTTTTCATGGCCACTATGATGCGCCTGCTTCAAGGCTAAAATGGTGTCCCTAGCATGGCGGCCATGACAGGGATAGCAGACGCACGCGTAACGGAGCATTGTTATTATTATTGTACAACACACACAGATCTTTTGTTTAGGCTTTTAGACTGTTAGGGCAATTGCCTTTCTTGTGATAATACACAGGCATGCGTACCGTTTATATATATATTCACGAGGGCTGTTTTCAATGTTTGTAAGCCTCACTCGTAGACATGATAGGAGCTCAAATTGAGAACGTGTTTGAACATATTCTCCTCTTGGCCGACCGTGGAGAGCCATCCTCGTTCATTGGCCCAATCTCGTTTGGATTGTTTACCTTTAATTTCTGCATAATGTATGTCGGTGTTTTGTTCGCCGCCATTAATGTGTCCATTAGCATATGATTTGCATGCTATTTTGATACACGTTAAGTACTATAATTGGTGATCACGTGACTCTTATACACATCACCATGCTCGCCGTGCGATGGTGCATTGTGGGTCAAGTAAAATACTCGCATTTTACGTTGTTGTTATTATCTTTTAAAGTGAACATCTGACTCATCAAGTTATAATAATGATACAATGTACAGCCCTTTTATCAATCCACTGCTGAACGAAGGCCCCTATGCTCGCAATGCTTTACCAACACACATGCCAGTGCGGTTTGTGAAACTATACGTACAGCATTAGATATAGATATTTTTTACACTGCTGTGTGAGATATGGAGTCATCCCTTTCACAGTATTGAATCCCTTCTTCTGCAGGGTATTAAATAGTGTAAAAGTGATGGCTTTAATACGTGTATATGGGTGATACATACCTGTCAACCCCTTATCAGTGCCTACCTTATTACAGACCAATTCAGACCTTATTGCTCACCCCGTGCCCTGACAAATCACAATGGAGAAACACAAACAAATGAACACATTTTTTTGCCGTATTTAAACGGCTGTATGGCGTAATGGACCTGAAAACTAAATTTACTTGTACAAGAATACGGGTAGACCGTATGGGTTGACAGGTATGCTGACATGTAGAAGCTTTGTAATACTGTACTGTTTTCGATCCGTTTCCCCCTATTTTAGTTGGGTCTCTGTAAATGGATCAGACTGTGTAATTCTGCACGAGCGCTGCGTGCGCGCCCCCTTGCGAACAATATTGAAAAGTTTTTTTTTGTTCATCGTAAAAGGGTTTTTTTTAATTGCTATTAAGTTTAAAGTTTTGCTGACTGGCTTCCTGGAGGGAGGGAACGACGAACGGTCACATCCAAATTGGCGTGCGCGTTGCGAGTATTTATATAACGTGCATAACATGCCTCCATGTTACGGAGTGCACTTGACAATAAAAGTATCTTACACGTAAACGTTGCAGCAGTGCCTCTTCGCATACTCACATTGCCCGTACCAGTTGTGCTGTTTGGCCACACGTAGCTTGTACCGTGTACCCTTACACCCAGACTACTGGGGCGTCACCCACACTGGACACCCACACACCTGCCACGTCTCCTCTTGCGACTGTCGGTGGCAAACGCCGTCACTTTGCGTCTCACAGGTCCCACCGAATGTGAACTCCCGAAGCAGGTCGCCCCGTAAATTTGGTGAACTTCTCACGGTGGGGTCGGCTACCCGTGGGTCACCCCGCTGAGTGGGTCGTCGGGTTCGTTTGTCGTGTTCATCGGTGCGAGCAAACGCGATGCGAACCTTCTAGACTCAGTGGTCGGCGCAACCTTTAAAAGAGGAAGTGACTTTTTATTTCTTTCTTTTGTTTTTGTCTTTGACCAAAATAGTTGGAGAGCCGCATCACACGCAGAGGTGACTTGCACACAGACACAACGACGGCGGGTATGCAGCGGACGACACTTTCTGAGTGAAATAAACAAAATAGGTGATGGAATAAACCGGGTCTATTTATACTCTTTGGTTGTTTCGGTAAAGTCACGTAGGTAAAAAATGTATTAAATAAAATAGAATGAAAACAACTAAAATAAAATTAAATCAAATCAAATCACAATTTTATTTTAGTTGTTTTCATTCTATTTTATTTCTTTAAACATTTTCCTACGTGACTTTACCGAAAAAACCAAAGAGTATGAATCCTTGCAGTCACGAAAACTTCAAATCTAGAATTTGATCTATTTAATCCCCCCTCCCCCCCCCCCCTTAGGTATTCTTTAACAATACAGTTTAACCGTACATTGTGGTTGTCCCCGAGCCATAGTGACCCATTCGCTACCATATTTAAGCAATGATGTTTACGTTAAATTCTGTTTTAAGATTTCCGTTTTTTTTTATTCAAACGGCTGCCCGCAAGGGGGCAGCCAAAGAGCCACACGTGACCGGCGTTCCCCTTCGTGCTCGACAATTAGGCTGACGCTGTGCGGTTCGTGCAAGGCGTTTGGTACACGCGCTCGAGTGAGTTCTAAACAAGGCCGTAATTATAATATAATGTCCCCCCCAATATATTGTTATAAACAATATATTTTAAAAAATTATATGCTATGTAAATAAAAAGAAAAAATTGCTAAACCTTGGCCACAATATCTAGACTTGTCTTCATATAACAATGCATAGATTTTTCTTTATATGATTGTGGTTATAGTTGTACTTTATAAATCCCTAATCTCTGTCATTACATACAATGAAACAAGAAAATGTAAAAAAGAAAAAAACAGAGCGATGTAATACAATACACTATTTGAAATTATTGTGAATTTTTAAATAAAAAGTCCATCCTATGTGTTAGTGAATTTTTCATATTTTAGGCAGGAAATTTGTTTTCAAATTTAGATTTTTTTTCTGGGGGGAGGGGGGGGGGCCCTAGACCCCCTGGAAGATTTAGTCCCCCACAATGTTGACTCCATGGCTACGGCCTTGGTTCTAAATAAGCCAGGCGTGCACGTAAAACCGGATTACTGTGTATACACCTAACCCCGTGACGTGGATATGTTATGACTGCTCAACCCGAGCTATTAACACTTTGATACTTGCCTTTTGGCGTTCACCGCCGGCGAGACAAGGCCATAAAGAAAGCTGTTTCCGGTGTAGGTCAATCGGTTTCAAAGACAATGCATAAATTATCAGAGGGTGTTTGCATTTTTGCCACAAGTATGTGTGGCTAATGCAGACGTGATGCCTTGCAGTAGGTATCTATTTGGTGTTTAAACATCTTAACAACTGTTTTATTGCCAGAAAGTGTAAAACCTATTCTTATTTTTTCATCATTTTCATACAAGCCAAAGGGTCCCATAGATACATGTATATATATTTAAAATGCCTCCTAGTGAGGTCAAACAAAGGATAAGAGCTAGGTTCATATTGTGTGGAGGACAGGTGCTGAAAGACACATCTAAAGTGTGAGATTGTCAATTTGGGGTCATTGTGAAAGATAACGATAAACTTTGCTGTGGCTGGGTTCGTTGATTGTAAAACTTGCCATCGGGTGTTTGGTGTGCAATAGCCACAAATAATCTCTGCGGTAGCACAGACGCGTGGCTCTCTTCCAACTCGTGGGACGAAAGTAACTGAGAAGCACTCTCGTCAATAGTGTGAGTTAAAGATGCCCTGCACTTACGACGAAGAATCAACAATAACATTGGCAGTAAAGTTTGTTTGTAAGGATGTTAAGATCTTACGAATAATGTTCTGCAGACAGGTTTTGTGAATTAGCACAGCGCCTGATCGACTTTTTCTTCTCCAGATCCTACGAAGTCGGTTTCTCGAAACAACAACATATACGCCAGAGGAACTCACTCACTCCATTATCATTCACGAACTCAAGGACGACGTGGGCTGATGATTTGTGAGACGGTGCTATCTTTGTGAGACGATGCATTTACATAAAACGCTGTGCAGTGCAGACAACATTGAACCAGCTAACATACACGCATCGAGGGAGTTCGAGTTGGAGCAATGTGTACGTGTCAAATTGTGGTGCTAATACTGTAGCAGTACCTACTCCCATTTGACGACTATTGCTATTTTTATTTCACCAGGTAAGGCACACTGAGCTACGCAGCTCTTTTTCAGTCGCGACCTCGCCACAAATTTTAGCTCAACGAAATGGCTTATCACGTGGACATTTATAGCAGCCATATACTCTAAAGGCGTGTTTATAAATGTGGAGGGAACCCCCTGAGGACCCGGAGAAATCCACACGACCACGGGAAGAGATCATGCACACTCGAGATATACAGGCGTCAGGGGCGGGAACCCACGACCTCCTGTATACCAGGCCAGGTGGTTAACATCTCACCACCATGGCACCCTTAGAGCTGTAACGTGTCTGTCTACACTGCTGGGCACACACCTGCTTAATTCAGCATTGCACAATACTGTACAGTGGCAATGGAGATTAAGATGATGCTCGCGTCTAACAAACAGTCGAGCATCATTGACGCTTGCAAAGGCGTTGGTGACATTTTTAGGGCACTCCCAACTTACAAAGTCGGCTTTAGAATAAGACATTGCAGGAGTCTGTTGAAACATGTCGCAGGACACGCTATGTTGTTATGATGTTGGAATCCATTTCCTGCTAACATGAACACATCTACATAATACTGGCAGACAGAGCCGATGAGCCCCGATTCAAGGAGTCGAGTTTAGACTGCGTATCGAGGAGTGCCGTGGAAATCTGGTTTCATCCTTCGAATGTCTCAAAGACGCCACACATGCTTTGGAAGCTTTCCAAAATTCCAACATTACATCTCACTACTGTCTGGCTAGAATGGCTAAAATGTGAACTTCCAACTGATACAGGTGGTACATTTTCACTGTGTTTGTCATTGAAAAACATACAACTTTTACACGAATTACTACCACATAGAAGCCACTATGTAGTGAGCAGAGCAAGTAATGTGTTCCACGTGTGGTTAAACACTTTCATTTAAGGAATTCGTATTTAGGAGCAGAGACCTGTTTTGATTTAACGGAGGATAGCACTTGAACGCTGTGAGAACAAACATAGACGTCAATGATTGATTTAAAAAGATTGATTTAAAAAATAATATTGCGGGTCGCATTGCGCCGGGCAAGACGCTGGTATTGCTGCGGGTTCGAGTTTGGGTCAGATAGTCGTGGGTCGCAGGTTTCCACATCGTCAACACGCCCCCACCCCTCTCCAAAGCGGCCCCTTAACCCCACATTTCCTCCGGATTGAAGGTTGCAAGAATGACCACTCTCCCTCAAAACTAAATAAGGAACCCCACGAACAACCAACGTTACGAAGATGCGTGGCGCGTCTCCGCACGCGCGCTCTGAAACTTTGCCACCCTCTGAGCTCGATTTCCGTTCACGGCTAACATCAAGTGGTGAATGGATATCTGGGTCTCTTGGTGGCCGAGACCGCGTGGATTCGTGATTTTTTTTTAGGTGGCCCGCGCAATATCTTGCGAGTCGCAAACCAACCCCGCCGTGCACGGGGGGTCATGATGAGCGCGCCGTTCCGGGAAACCCCCTCGCGATTTCGCGGAACGAAACAGAGGAGCGAGAAAGGAGACATCTGCGCCGTGATTCATTCGGTGGGAACTTTCCAAAATTGCGCGCGGTGTCTCGCCGTGACGCGGGCAAAACTTGGCTACTGGAAGATAGTTATCGCCCCCGTTCTTCATTCGGGGAAATACTAATTAGTGTTCCTTATTCATCTGGGGAAAATAGATTTATCTGAACATTAAAGTGCGTAATCTGCCAATGATGCAATGCAAATAATGCAACTTGTCATCGAGTACATAAATATTAGAGGTTACTTAAATAAATGAGTAATGCTGATTATTAATCCAGGATAATAATGTGATTTCATAATCCAGTGTATTGAAATGATGATGTACAGGTGTGTTGCACAGCTGCGGCGGGCCAGGTAAGAATAGACGGTGTTCCGCACAGGTCGGTGTTCCGCACCCATACAAGGTGAAGTCAATGGTGCTGGTTTGCCCTGACTCCTGTCATAGGAATGTGGAATTTCCGTCTCTGGCTCAAAGGCCGCTCAGGGCGAAGAGCGGCGCCCCAAGTGCGACACACCCAGACTCAGGACTTGGCCATTATCAGCCGCCGTTATGTAGCTACTGAAGTCTGTGGAATGAAAACAGAACATTGACCTTCAAAGAGTGTGGCTACTCTTCTCACCAGTCCGCTGTTTTGCCGAGACATCCCCTTCAGGCTATAGAAGAGCCCGTTTGTCGTGGACTCGTATACAAGTCGCTGCAGTCAAAGTGTGCCTCGGCTCACGCGAGAGCGGGGGCGGTGCTCTGCTCCATTGGCGACTCTGTAGCCAGGGCTGGGCCTTGCACGGTCAATAATGGAAAGTGAATAGTTTTAAATTTGAAGCTTTCGTGACTGCAAGGATCCATACTCTTGGGGTTTTTCGGTAAAGTCGCGTAGGGAAAATAAATAAATA